TTTCGGGTCCCCCTCACACTCCTGCGGTTCCATTTTGTCATAGGATGCGGCAGATTACAGGGGCCCTCCCAAGCTCTTCCAGGCCCCAAATCTGCCAGGGGGCCCCTGACCCCCCTTCACGCTGCTGCCAAGGTCCACAGTGGTGTGTGTCATGGGTTTCACTGTATGTACCCGCCTCCCATGTGCTTTGCTGTCTCCATCGCCACCAACTCTGCCATGTGCCACTTTCAGGGCTCCTCACACTCCCCTGCTGGGTTCCATTTTGTCATAGAGATTGCTGGCAGAAATACAGGCCTCCCATAGCTGCTTCCAGGCCCTTAATCTGCCATGGGCCCGCAATACCGCCTCCTCCAACGGCTTGCTGCCAGGTCCACAGTGGTGTCATGGGTCCCTGTACCGCACTCCCATTGCTGCTGTCTCCATCGCCACCACTCTGCCATGTGCCACTTTCAGGTATCTCCCCTCACACTGCTGGTGGGTTCCATTTTGTGCATGTTGGGTGCTGTATGGCCTCCCATTGCTGCTGCCTCCACCGCCACACTGTGGCTCCACACTATGGTTTTGGCCCCGACCCCGTGACTGCCCAAATGAGTGAAGTGTGCTGGTGATTCTGAGATCGACGGCATCTCATCTGCATGTCATATCTGACTGGACAGTATTATTTCTCTCCCCAGCAGACTCCAAGGGCATTTAAATTAAAAGGTACAGTGTTCTGCACTAATATAAAGGTTCTCTGAAGCCTAGGAAACACCTTTTTATAAGTTAAATTCACAGCGAATATATTTGACTCGTTGTCGAATTTTTTCCCCACGAATTCGCATCCGAATCTGTCGAATCGAATTTTTGAATACTGTCGCTCATCTCTATTTAAAAACCACCCAACCAACTACTACATCCATAAAACAATTTCTCCAAAGGACCATATCTCCCCGGTTATCCTCAGACCCAACTTGACTCCATCTCTTGTCCAATATCGCCCAAAGAAATAGAAACGATCGTTTTTTAAACATCTTCCCAATCAATAAATCACCAGGGATTACGGATACACTAATGAATACTATCAATCCATTGCCATGATATAAAATTATACGCTAAAATCATATCCCAAAGAATTCTCCCCTACCTACCCACCCTAATACACCCGGACCAAGTAGGTTTATTCTAGGTCGCCAAGCACCAGACGCTACCAGAAGAATTATATCGCTCCTATATATTGTAGAAAAAACCAACACCCCCTCCTTGCTCTTATCCTAAGATGCAGAGAAAGCGTTCGACCGGATACACTGGCAATTCTTACGCCTCACGCTTCAAAAATTTGGTATCACAGGTTGGTTGCTGAAAGCCATCTTGTCACTATACTCTCAACCATCTGCTAGAGTTCTGACAGATGGCACACTATCCGATCCTTTCGACATCTCTAACGGTACAAGACAAGACTGTCCACTCTTCCCGATAATATTTACTCTCCTTATTGAACCCCTAGCTTCCAAACTCAGAGAGGACAAAACATTCACAGGAATCACACATCTTAACATGGAACACAAAATTAGCCTATTTGCAGATGATATAATATTAATGGTGACTAACCCTAAAAAATCCCTCCATACGATCCGCTCACATCTACATACTTACTCAACAGTTTCATACTACAAACTTAACGAAACCAAAACTTCCATACTCAAGCTTCACATCTCAGCCCAACTCCAAACCCAATTAGCCAAACAATTCCCATTTTCATGGAAAAAAAACAGTAGCATCCCATATCTGGAAATAAAACTCACACTGACAACAGACCACCTGTACACAGCAAATCACAAAATACTGCTTGAAAATTTACCCCAAGAACTAAGCACTCTATGCACCTCAGAACTCTCCAAACTAGGCCGAGTCGCAACACTAAAAATGTATATCTTACCCAAAATCTTATACATATTCCGTACGCTCCCCTTACCAATCCCTAATTCATTCTTCACTAAACTTCAATAAATCCTTACAAAGTTCCTATGGAACTCGAAAAAAAAAAAAAACCAAGATGTACCACCAGTCTTCTAATAAGACCTACAAATAAAGGAGGAGCAGGACTCCCGCACCTCAAATCTTACTACACGGCTGCCCTCTTAGACCAACTATATTTTTTGTGGAATCCCTCAAAGTAAAAAATCTGGTCCACAATGGAAACCCTTCCCTTCCAACCACTTAAACCCCAAAAATATACTCCTGTCCCCACCGTCTAAAAGCATAGAACCCCACCTAAAACATCCCTGCATTATAGCTTCCCTGCAAGCTTGCCGAGACCTTCTATCCACTAAATTTAAAGATATTAAACATGTACCTACCCCAACCAACATACTACACCTCTTCATCCCTTCTTTGGACCTATCTCAATGGACAGAACAAGGAATAACTAAATTAGCAGATCTCCATTCCAACCAATCTTTACACTCCTTCCAATCTCTCCAAACCAAATATAATATCCCCACTACTGAAAATTTTACATACCTAAGAATCGCTCATTGTTTACATGCAAATAAATTACCCCACAACACCATCCTACCAATCACAGCCTACACCTTCTTCACCAGGCCCCAAAACCCGAGTAAAGGTATTTCCACTTTCTATGCGCACCTCATTAACTCACAGTTCACTTTACAAACAACTTCCCTAACCAATTGGGAAAAAATCCTTTCAACCCAAATCACCTTAAAATGCTGGGAAAATACCTTCAACATCACATATAAAGCTACCCGATGCAGCTCCCACTGGGAGTCATACCTAAAAATACTCCATCAATGATACCGGACACCCCGATTAAACTCTCGATTTACTATCCAAAACATGCTCTTACATGCTGGAGACCTTGCGGCGAACTAGGCTCAACAATCCATATTTTATGGTCATGCAAGTCACTTCGATCCTTCTGGAATACTAAATTCCAATTAATATCCGAAATAAACAAATCCCCGATAGCCCCAACCCCTTATTGGCACTCCTTCACATTGGAATAGAGAAACTCTCCACCCATTCCCGAACAATTATTACCCACATACTCTTTGCAGCAAAAATTACTATTACTAGATCATGGAATACGAATAATACCCCCTCAATCACTTCATTAATTGCAGACCTTAATACACAATGTCAAATGGAAAAACTATCCGCAATTAACACTTCTTCCTTCCACAAATTCAACACCCAATGGACCCGATGGCTAAAACACCCAAAATGTTCTATTTAACCCTGATGACACTTTAAGAGACGAAAGCACATCCTATGCCAAGACTGGTATCTCCTCAATCTCCCAGTTAGATCCTTCCACCCTCATTCCTACCCTCCTCCACTCCCCCCCCCAAATACCCCCCCCCATAAACCCCCGAAATTTCACCAACAAAGTTCATCAAATATACACGAATACCTCTGATGATATTGCTAAAACAAGACCAACACCTCATCCATCCAAGAATTACAACAAGATGGTCAATAATATTTTGTTTATTGTAATAATGTAAGACTGAATCATTTATCTTTTCCCTGTTTTTCCAGTGTTTACCCCTGAAAATTTCAATAAAAATTATTGAAATATAAAAATCATACAATGTAATTTCCTGAATTTTTTTTTTTTCTGTCTCTGGGAGTGGGAATGCACCTACAATGTGAATTTCAGACCCCTCCATGATTTCTAAGTGGGAGAACTTGCAAAATCGCAGGGTGTTCAAATACTTCTGTTCCTCACTGTATATAATATACATATATATATATATATATATGTCAATTTATTTAGGTTACATTTTGCTTTAGCAAACTAATCATTCAGTTAGGCATAATGTCATCAACTTTAAAGGGATGTATTAGTTTGTCAATGTAAAAGTAAGCAGCCTCATGTAAATAATCCTACCAGTAAATGCTGATATTGTAATGTATGCCCAGACATATATTCTCATTACATTACTGACTCTTCTTTAATATTTGCAATGCTATAAAATGGTTGTTCTTTACGGATCCTTCTCACATTGTTGAAAACAATGCTCTCCCTGTGTGTCTGATATCCCAATTCACAATTGTTAAGGGTTATGTGGGTTGCCATTGCTGAGCTCCACTCCAGTATCTATACAGCCATTTGTGCATGCTATAACTTTCATGTAAACTAATTAATTTACACGTGTTGGGATTTTTTTTTTTTTTAGTAAAGACATGTCGCAGAAAAATTTTGGCTGAAATTTATGATGAAATTTGATTTATAATTTTTTTTACTGGACATGTTTTATAGCAAAAAGTCCAAAATATTGTTTTTTTTCTCAAAATTGTCGATTTTGAGAAAAAAAATGCACGCTCAATTTGTGGGTAAAAAATGACATAAATTTAATTTTGGTGCAGCGTAGCATGAACCGCGCAATTGTCAGTTAAAGTAACGCAGCGCCGTAACACAAACCGCTTCTGTAACCGCTTCCTGACTGCCCTATAGCAGAAAATACTGCTACAGGGTGGTATGGGTGCACAAAATCACATATGTATACGTGATTCACGCTCCTGTGGGTTTTCAGGCCCTCCCAGATTGCCCATCAGCACACCAGTAATCACATTTAACCCCTTGATTGCCAGGAACATGCAAATACACAATAAACTTCTATTGCTAGTATAGTGTCTGAACGGATCAATATCTTTGATCAGATCAGCACTATATCAGCGTTCACATTAGTATAGCGTCCCCAAAAATGCAGCGTTAGTGGGATCAGCACCTGCCAGCACCTGCATTTAGCCCCTACGCTTATCCCCCCCTCCCTTTCCCCCCCCCAGCAAGTGCAGTGTCAGTAGGTCACTGTCACTTGATACATTGCACACACAAAACCGCAGTGTTCGCAGAATCAGGCCTGATCTCTGTTAGCACTTGTCGGTAAATTTTGATGACACCTCATATGCAGCAGAGTGCCAGTACTGTACCACACTACCTTTTGGTGAACTGGCGAGCACTAGTGGCCTAGTACATCCTGGTCTTTCACATACCTCTTAGATTGTAAGCTCCCAGGATCAGGCCTTCCAAACCCTCTTGTATTGAACTGTATTGTTGCTGAGTATTGTAAAGCGCTGAGCAAACTGTTTGGCGCTATATATAAATCCTATATAATAATAATACCAGCACTGCAGTATGACTTGGTGACGTGGCGAGTCCCATAAATGTAGTACAAGCTGGTGTGGTGGTGAGCACAAGTATTGTTCAGATTTACGAGGGAAAAGATAGTCATGTGGAGCCCCCCAGATGCCCAGACTACATGGGGAGCAATGGCAAGATAGTTTGGGACTTGGTGTCATCCCTCTCCATATGGGGTACTACTTATGCATGGACAATTTTTATTCAAGCGTGCCACTATTTAGACATTTGTACAATCTTGGAACTGACGCATGTGGCAAAGTGTGACCTAATGTGTGCCCGCCATTAGAAGTGGGTGAATGCAGAGCAGTATATTCCAATGGTGGGCATACCACACACTTTTTATGGCAGAGATTTCTTCTCTTTTTTTTCATTCATTCTACAGGCTGCATACAAAAAAAAAAAAGAACATAGCGTATACAGTAATACCTCGGTTTACAAATGCCTCTGTTAACGTAATTTTCGGTTTACGAATGAAAATCCATTGAAAATAATGCCTCGGTTTACAAATTTTTTACTAATTTTTTTTCACAATACTAAGTGTATGTCAGTGCTGATTTTTAAATGCAATTGCCATCTTTTT